TACTTGTCACTTGACAGTGTGTTCACTGTTCTCAAATTTTCTTGCCAATAAATGAATATAAGGAAATAACTAAATATACAGGGTGATAGAGAATTTCAAGCTCTATCATAATATATAATTACTTTTTTCAAAAGATAACTCTATAGTGATGAAAAATTTTAAAAACTAGTTTTGACGACAATGACAAAACCAAATCTGTGGTAATCTAGACATGAGGGTACCTTCATTGCACTCAATGTTTTTGGTAATATATATCTTCAAACGAAAATGCAAATATACAGACTGATATAAAATTTCACGGGCTTTCAGAATATGTCGTTACTTTTCATAAAATATGTTCATTTGATAACAATATCCTCAAAATACAGAGGGAAACTTATTTTTGCCAGGGGTATATATATATATCTTTATTATGATTAAACCCTTTGCTTTATTGCTTTCGTTGTGAAATGATGTTATAGGAGTTTAAGAAAAAATAAATAAATAATCATTGAGAAAATATTTACACTCAATTTGATGTTAGCAGGAAGAAAAACAACGAAAGACGATAATAAATGAATATTTTACTTATAAATCATCTTTCGTTTAATTTATTTTTGATTTGTCTTTCATCTAGGGTGTGGGTGTTTATCTGTTCTTCATGGAGATCCACACCCACACCCAATATAGACAATTGTTTGCCTGTTTTTGTTAAATTTATTATGTCGATCAAAGATAAATATTAACATAATTTACAAAAAGCATGATGTGGAAGATTATCTATAGACATTTGTATCTAAAAAAATATATAGTAAATCTTAAGAGATTATTTAAAAATTCGAAAACTAAAAAAAAATTATAAAATAACATTGATTATATTCAAAACAACAACAAGAATGGAAGTTTTTGTCGTTTGGTATTAGTGAGCTACTTTACCCTTCTAATATGTGAACAATTTAGTAAATCAACTTTGTATTACTTTATAATTAAGAAGTTATCAACTGAACAAAGGTTAGTTTCTTCCGAATGAAATTAGTACTACTCAGGTTTCTATGTGTTCATTAATGAGAAGATAATGAGTGTTTATTTTTTTCTTTCAGTTCAGTATTACAAAGTCATGAAATCTGCTTTATTAATAGTACATAACACATCTAAACTATGTGTTTATATCATGCTTGCCAAATCTCTACATTTGATCAGGAGTCTATTTTCAATATGTCATTTTGATTTTCACCCAAGCAGACAAGAATTTGGAAAAACGCGTTTAAACCCTACAATCAGGAACCGCGATTGTGATTCACTCACGCTCAAAAAAATAACGCCGTTTTTCACGTTTTTTTGTGCATAATTTCCACTTTTTGACTGTGAAAACACGTAAGTAATGCCAGCACAGGATTCGAGTATTTCCCACCGGGATTCGCCTATACATCTGTGCATCTCCCAGAAATGCTTATGCATGATGCAGAATTTCATGCTCTATCCAATGGTGCCATTCTCGACTAGCACTCACGACCAAAAACCAGGGTCTTTTCTAACAATACTGATTTTCACACTAGGAAGACGAAGCACAATTAGAGTATTTCCTGCCAGGATTCGCCTACATATCTGTGCATCTTCTGAAAAGGGTTGTGCATGATGCAGAATCTCATCTTCTATCGAATGGTACCATTTCTACTAGGTTTCACGGGCAAAAACCTGGGATTCAGGCCGGACAGCCGCGAAAAATGGACATTTCTGCTAGTATTTCCCGCCAGGATTCGCCTACACATCTGTGCATCTCCTAGAAATGCGGGTGTGGGTCTGGGTGTGGGTGTGTGGCTGTGAGTGTGGGTGGAGTGGGTGTGGGTGTGTGGGGTGTGGGTGTGGGCGTCGGTCAATACATTCGATTCCTCCACACCCAAACACCCACCCACACCCCACATCCGCACCCACTCACACCCACACCCACACTCACACCCCACACCCACCCACACCCCACACC